AAAATTTTAAAATTTAATTAAATAACTTACTTTTAATAGATGTTTATTCTTAAGAATACTATTAAAACGTGAAATACGTGATAAAGTATTTATTCCTTGTTTTGCACATCAGATGAATTGTTGTATTAGAGATATATTTAAAGAGTCTACAGTATTCAAAAATACAAGCAAATATGCTCTTCGTATTATTTCTTTTTTTTACCATTCTGTATATTTTATGGCTAAACTTCATGATGAACAAATAAGTGTTCTAAAAAAATATATTAATTTCATTACTTCAAGTATAACAAGATGGAACAATCATTTCAAATGTTTTGATAGTATTCTTAAGAATAAACATCTATTAAAAGTAAGTTATTTAATTAAATTTTAAAATTTTTAATTTTAAAATTATTATGATTTTTTTTTTTTTTTTAGACTCTTGTTACCAAAGATGATATGGCCTCAGATGATAATTTAAAGCTTCCAACTAAAATCAAAATTATTATTAACTATGATTCTTTTTGGAATTCTCTTACAATATTACATAAATTACTTTATCCTTTTTGTGGAGCTCTTGATCTTATGCAACATGACAAAGCTCACCTTCATAATGTTTTATATACCTTCGGTTTTTTTATACAAATATTTAAAGAACTTGAAGAATTTTAATTTCAAATAAGAATGGTTAAAAGACTTGAAAAAAGGTAGGCTACATGGGAACAACTATTGCTTATTCTTTCTTTTATTCTTCATCCCCTATATAAATTGAATTATTTTAATCAAACACAATATATTAACTTTACTTACATAGGAGTATGGTTATCATATTATTATAAAGTTTGGTTTGATACTGAGCCAAATTGTTTGTTTTGTGAACTTGAACTTTATAAACAGCAAAAGTATTCTTTTACTAAAAAAACTTTTAGCTATTTTAAAGGAGATATAGTTCTTTGGTGGTCTTATAATTCTGGTGCTGCACCAGAACTATGTCATGTTGTATGCCAATTATTTGGCATATATGTTACAACTACTTCTGTTGAAAGGCTTTTCTCAACAATAGGCTTTTTGTATTCTCCATTAAGAAATAAACTAAAGGTAAATTTAATTTAAATTATAAATTTTAATATATTAAAATTTTTTTATTATAGGATACAAAAGTTGTTGCAATGAGTCAACTCCATGCTAAAATCTTACGAGCTCATAAAAAAAAGATCAAACCTAATTATAGTCAATTAGATTACTCTTCTTCTGCTTTATCTTCCTCTGCTGCTCTAGTTTCTGCTAGTTCTTCGCTATCTAATCAAGATCTAGAATTTGAAGAGAC